AGCACGCGTACTTCTGCCGTCGCTCGTGCTTGTCTCTTGCGTGCGTGATAGGCCCGACTTGCCGCGTTCTTGAGCTGCCTAGCCACTTCCGCATCATTCCCGTCCCCTTCAAGTGATTCCTTGTCCTCAAGGACAAAGTTCGGGAATTGATCACGTATCTCTTCAAGATCCTCCCACGTGGCTTCTTCAGGCGGCAACTCTTCCCTGTCAACAAGTACTTCCCAACGATAGCGCCCTGCTCTTTTTACTTTGCGGTACTCAATGGCTTGCCTGGGGCGTATGATAGCCCTACCGTCGGTTGCAGTAGTTGGCAACTCCTCACAGTACTTCTGCGCTTCTCCTAAACTCCTCTTGAGTTGCGAGACATGGATAACTGGGTGGATTTGTGAGCTTTCTGGTAACTCAAGGCGATAAGCTACTTGACCAATGCGCTTCAGAATCTGATAAGGCCCATAGTAGCGGACTCCCAACTTAGTTGCGTCCCTTTGCGCTGTCGTACGCTGTCTGAATGGTCGTAGCTTCAGGTAAGCATACTCGCCTGGTACAAAATTCTCCTCACGCCTTTTCCCATCCACGAAGGTTTTGGTTCGATTAATTGATCCTTCGAGATTTCTCTTCAGCTCACGTAACATCAAATCTCGTTCCTCCAATTCTCGACCAACCTCATCGTTGACTGTACTCCCCTCCGAATAATTGATCAATGTTGGGGGTTTTCGCCCATAGACCAACTCGAATGGCGTCATCTTGGTCGACTCGTGGTAAGTGGTGTTGTACCAATATTCAGCCCATGGTAAAAAGTTTTCCCACCTCTTCGGAAATTGATGGACGTAGCACCTTAAGTACTGCTCGAGTGTTCGGTTAGTTACCTCGGTTTGTCCATCCGTCTGCGGGGGGTATGCTGAGCTCATAGATAACTTGGTCCCCTAAAGCTTAAAAAAATCAGACCAAAAGCTGCTCATAAAAATCCGGTCTCGGTCAGAGACGATGGACCGAGGTGCTCCATGCAGTTTCATCACGTACTCCACGAATAACCTGGCAATCGATTTTGCGGTGTAAGGATGGGTAATGGGTATGAAGTGAGCATACTTCGTGAGACGATCCACCACAACCATAACACCGTCAAATCCATTAGAATTTGGTAGCCCCTCGATGAAATCCATCGTGATGTCTTCCCAGATTGCCTCGGGTACTGGTAGTGGTTGCAATAGCCCACTTGGTCGCCGGGAATCAGACTTAGTGCGTTGGCAGTCATCGCATCGAGCTATGTAATCTCGAACGGTACTCTGTTGCCCGGGCCAGAAGAAGGTGTTGGCTATTCTCATCCATGTGCGATAGATACCCGAGTGGCCTCCAACCTTAGAGTCATGGAAGTGCTGCAAGATCTGCTAGCGTAACTGCCCACTGTCGGGAACATAGACTCGACCTCGGTGTAGAAGTAGACCGTTATGCAACTCGTAATCGATAGCAGTCGTCTTACCAGCTTCTATTGATTGGCGCAGCTGTAACACCCCACTTTGATTTTACAGAAATTTCGAATTTTCCAAAAACCAGAATAAAATTTTCAAAATCATTTTCGAAAACTTAGTGGGTGTTAACTAACATTTCTCATATCCCAAGTCTTATCTGGGCTCACGGGGATTCATTACCCGGTTTTCGTAATCGGTTTTCATTAACCAATAACAACTCATGAATTAAAAGCCAAACATCAAATTCAAAAAGGCAACAATTCATAAGTCTCCAAATCCATCACACAAGTACGAATGATAATTTGCACAAACACGACGTGCATCAAAACTTATTGAGTTCAGCGGAAGATATAAAAATGCATAAATAATCAATCGACCCCACTTGTCTCATCCTTGTCACCCGGCTGTCACTGACCTGCATCGGTAAAG